AACATTGTATAGGAAGGCTGTTGATTATAGATTTTAAAATACGGACTTGTACCATCAGAAACGGAGTTATGCATACGATTTATAAGATGAACAGCGGACTCAAACGCATAGAACCAGTATTTTTGGGGAACTTGACCACGGGCTAACAGAGTAAGGCCTGTTTCGACAACATGTCGATTTCGGCGCTCCACACGACCATTTTGTTCGTGTGTGTGTGGGCAAGATTTTCTGTGTTGTATACCTGCGGTGGCAAAAACCGTACCTAATTTGAGATACTCACCCCCCATATCTGTCTGAACAACCTTAATCGAGGTGGATAACTGCTTTTCCACCAGCGCACGGAACCTAGCAAATATGGAATAAAGATCGGACTTAAGCTTCATGGGGTAAATCCACATAAACCTGGAAAAATCGTCAACAAAAAGCACAAAATATTTATGCCCATCTATTGACGGTTCGGGAGAGGGACCCCAAATATCTGAGAAAACTAAATGAAGGACAGATTCACTTGATCGTTCAGTTCGTGACAACGGGAAGCGCGCAGACTTACCCATTTGACACGCGGTACATAGTTTATTTAAAGAATTAAATGACCCTACTACTGGACATGTAGACAAAATTTGTTTTAAAACACGGGAGTGTGGATGTCCAAGGTGCTCATGCCATATTTCTGGAGGTGCTTTGGCTGATAGGAATGCAACTGGTTTGGACAGATTCAACGCGTACATCCCTTGCGTGCTAGGACCTCTAAGCAGAGTTTGCTGGGTGGTACGGTCCTTCACAACAAAATAAGTCGGGTGAAACTCAAAAAAGACGTCATTATCTTGGGTAAATTTTTGTACAGAAAGAAGAGATGCACGTAATTGTGGAACATGCAAAATTTGGTTTAGAAACAGTGACCGGGACTGTGAATTAAGAGAAATAGAACCAGTGTTTTGTATGACCAAACCTGAATCGTCGCCAACTTGCAGCGTCTCACCTCCCGTGTACGGCTCCACACCTCCTAAGCCATCAACGTGAGGAGTTGCATGGGAATTGGCACCAGTATCCGGTAGCCAGACATTTGAAAAGGGCGCGGAGGTGAGATCATTTTGAGTAGGTTGATACGCCACATGCGCTTGGGGCTGATTCGCAACCCGAGCTTGTTGCTGCGATAAGGGAGGACGTTGACCGCCGACGTCTTCAAATCTCCTGTAGCAGGTGAGAGCCGTGTGACCGGGGATATTGCATATCTGACAGCGAATGCCACCGCGCCCACGTTGGCCTCGCCCACGCTGGCCCCGATGGTTACGTCCACCCCCACGGCCGCCGTCGGAGTATCCCCTGGAGTTCGACGAAGACTGATGCGCGACCATGGCTACGGGCGGAGATGAAGTATGCAGAGGCTGAACATGCGGCACGGTATCTTCGGGGAATAAATAACGGTGAGTGTTCAGAAGATCTGCAACCTCTGGAATAGTTAGCGGGGCAGCTTTAGTGGTGAGAGACGCCACCAATGACCGGTATTCCGGTCTTAGACCTCTGAAGATGTGCAGGTTCTGCTCATCAAGCCCAATTGGACGGCCGACTTGCGCTAATTGCTCCACGAGGATTTGCGCACGTCCCAAGTAGTCAGACGGCGAAGAATCTCCCTGTTGAAGGCTCTGCAATTGAGTGAGAAGACTCAATGTGCGAGAACGGGAGGTGGAGCCGAGGGCTGTTTCTGTCGCTACCCACACGCCTCTGGAGGTGGAATGGCCGATAGCTAAGTACAACACTTCTTCAGCTAACGACGAGATCAGCGTGCTCAAGATCGACTGATCTTGTTGAACCCAGGTGGCGTGGAGCGGGTTAACTGTCGGAGATGACGACGATGCGGAGGCTACGAGAAACTCCGGTGGACAGGCATTGGTCCCATCTACAAAACCGTATAGGTTTTGCCCACGCAAGAACGGCACTAGCTGCGCTCTCCAGAACAAGTAGTTCGTGGCTGTCAGCTTAATGGACACATAATGATGCGCCTGTTGAAGTGCGTTGGTAGGCCGATGATCGGAGGGAGGCACCACGTCGGTTGTGCGATTGGAGATACCAACTGCCGTGGTGGTAGCATCGGCTGTGGGGTTAGGTGGATTGGCCATTGGACCGAGGTTAAGCTGATACCAAATGAAGTAAAGAATTCCAGAATATATTTCGATGATATGCAGCGGAAGATTACAGAGATATATATAGCAGGTCCAAGCACCACATAAGGTGGAGTAGTGCTGACCAAAGCTCAAGACTCTAACAACCTGAAACAAACTCACCCACCAACATAATACAAAATAAATATCATAAACTAACTGCTCCAATACCGAAACCCGAAGTGCCCAGCCCTAATTCCTAGTTATTCATAAAAATGAATCTTACCTCCTAATGGGGATATGGGGCATGGGCTTAAGGTTCGTGGGTTCGCGATATTGGGCTGGGATGAAGGGGGGGGGGGGGGGGAGAGTAGCGGAGGCTGAGGGGGGGGAGGGTGTCGCCGACGGCGGTTTTCGCCAGCAATGGTAGGGCTCGGGCTGGTGGGGTGTGCGCGTGCCCGACGAGGCCAGCGCGAGCTTGTGCAGGAGTCGCGCCCCTTGTTGTTGGTTCGTCGCGATCGTAGCGCTATTAGGTAGCCTATTGGCTTCGGCCAGTGTGGCCTTGCCGCCTTGCGCCCCCCTTTCCGGGGGGTGTAGCGTGAGGGGTAGGGATGTGTTGCGGCGTTGCATGGAAGTGCATGGCGGAGGATGTTGGGTAGCGTGTGCGTAATGGTGGTACGTGGATAAGAGACGTAGGGCACGTGGAAGCTACCGAGGGGAGTTAATCTGGAGACGTACACGTAGACAGTGCAGGATGTGGGGGGTCAAGCTATAAATAGCGTGTCTGACTTCTTGTTAAGGACATGTCTGAGCACCAAGCACAAATTATGCTGTGGACTTGTGTCCACAATGCATTATAGACACGAGTCCAAAACGACGTCGTTTTAAGGGAAAACGCGGCCTTCCAGTTAAAAAAAAATTGATTTTGTCTCGCCGTTAACGACGTTATTCGTTTGTAGCATTATGAATGTACAGTTATGGAATTATGAATGTACAGTTATGCAATTATGAATGTACAGTTATGAAATTATGAATGTAAGTTATGGAATTATGAACACAGAGGTCTGACATTATGAACTTATAATTATGAACATATAGTGATAAAATTATGAACATAGAGCTCTAAAATTGTGAACATAGAGTTTCGAAAATTATGAATGTACAGTTACGGAATTATGAATGTACAGTTATGCAATTATGAATGTACAGTTATGCAATTATGAATGTATAGTTATGCAATTATGAACACAGAGCTCTGACATTATGAACTTACAATTATGAACATATAGTGATAAAATTATGAACATATACTCCTATAACAAAGTAGTCTAAAATTAAAAAAAAAAAAAAAGAAAGTGGAAGAGAACGGTGCCACTAACGGCAGTTGGACACGGGTCCATAGCATAACGATTACACAACTGTCTAATGGTCTTTATCTTATGCTTTCAACCCCACTGCCTGTGTTTGATTCCTATTCGTAGTATATTTAGCTATAGCCCGTCTTTTGGGCCGCCATGTTGAGCCTGTACCTCGGTTTTGTGATACTATTTTGGACCTAGCGTCCGGAGTAACAAAGTTATTATTTTCCTACTTCCATTCTATAATTGATGTACCTGATTTATGGTGAACCTCGATAAAATCATCGCCAACATAGAAAAAATTTACTTTCCTTAATATCATGAAATTAAATTCTCATCCTTCATAAAATAAATATTATCTTGTAAAAGAATTATAAGTGTTTCAAAAAAAATTCTGATTAATCTAATCCTTTTAAATTAAAAATACACTTAAATTTAAATATATGAATAATTTTCTCACCTTTTAAATTTAGAAGAAAGTTCAAAATTGCCTACCAAACGTCTTCGGTTTAGCGGTTTAGCTTTCGCAATTTAGGGTCCGAAACATGCAGACAAAGAGAGGGGTCAATTACCAATCGTTATGCTCTGGACCCGTGTCCAGCATGCATGCTGGACACGGGTAACAGAGCCGTTAGGCACTGTTATCTCTTTTTTTTTTTTTTTTTTTTTTTTTTTTTTTTTTTTTTTTTTTTTTTTCTTTTTCTTTTTTCTTTTATAATTTCAGATTCGTTATAGGAGTATATGTTCATAATTTTATTACTATATGTTCATAATTGTAAGTTCATAATGTCAGAGCTCTATGTTCATAATTCAATAACTGTACATTCATACTTCCATAACTGTACATTCATAATTTAGTAACTGTACATTCATAATTCAATAACTGTAACTTCATAATTTTCAAAGCTCTATGTTCACAATTTTAGAGCTCTATGTTCATAATTTTATCACTATATGTTCATATTGTAAGTTCATAATGTCAGAGCTCTGTGTTCATAATTCCATAACTGTATATTCATAATTGCATAACTGTACATTCATAATTGCATAACTGTACATTCATAATTCCGTAACTGTACATTCATAATTCAATAACTGTAAAATCATAATTTTCGAAGCTCCGTTTTTACAATTTTAGAGCTCTATGTTCATAATTTTATCACTATATGTTCATAATTGTAAGTTAATAATGTCAGAATTCTGTATTTATAATTTTATAACTTATATTCATAATGTCATAACTGTACATTCATAATGCCATAACTGTACATTCATAATGGCACAAACGAATAACGCCGTTAACGGCGAGAACAAAATCAAAATTTTTTTTAACTGAAATGACGCATTTTTCTTAAAAACGACGTCGTTTTGGACTCGTGTCCACAATGGACACGGTCCAGGGCATAATTTGCCTCCAATTACGGAGTACTTAAAAAGTTGCACTGAGGAAAGGGACGTAAGAGATTTTGGATTTAGTTGGCAGAAACGTATAGTCATTTTCATTTGTAGATGATTGCCCTACTTGTCCAAGGATACTAAGAAAAAGCTCTGAAAATATCTCTATATACAGGTATCAAATTTCTTACTCATGCCCACGTCCGTGTATATACATGAAATTTTGTTTTTGTTCAGTAGAATGGACTTAGTTTTTAGCGTCTATCAATTGCTGTATATGATTTTGGAGTGTCTCAATTTCTGGAATTGATTTCATATTTCGCTATTCAGCAGTTTAATTCTTTCACTAGTGTTGGTTGAAACTGCTTAAATGTTAGGATAATAATTTTTGTGGCTCAATTCCATAATATTGTGTGGCACACATTCATTAAGACCACGCATCACCTTGCTGCATGTCTTCACGTCGTCTCCGACTTCGTCGCTCATGCCGCAGCTCTCGCAATTTTCAATGTATAAATAGAGCTTTAGTTTCCTTGTTTTCAATGTACTCATCATTACATCAATTCATTTATACTTGAATTCATCTATTCCCTATTTATATCTTCTCACGCATTTATATATATATAATTTCCTTTATATTCTCTTTTAGAGATTATATATATATATATATATATATATATATATATATATATATATATATATATATATATATATTCATTTATTCTTTCATTTAGTCATCTATATAACTTTCTTCATTTATGTATATTTTCCCTATTTATATTATTTAACTTCTCTATAATTCTCAATTTTCGATTCTTTGCTTCCGCATTATTCCGCTATATTCCTAGCAAGTGGTATCAAAGCGGTTTAATTGAGAGTTATTTTCAAAGATGTCAACTGTTACCAAGTTCGATATCGAGAAGTTCGACGGGAAAATTAGCTTTTCTATCTGGAAGGTTTAGATGGAAGCCGTTCTAACCCAGAACGGTTTGAAGAAAGCGCTAGCTGGGAAGAAGAAGAAACCGGCTACAATGACAGATGTAGATTGGGAAGATCTGGATGACAAGGCACGTTCAACCATTCTTTTGTGTCTGTCTAAAGAGGTTCTACGTGAGGTATTAAGTGAGACGACTGCGTCAGATTTATGGTCCAAGCTGGATACACTTTACATGGCCAAAACTCTGGCGAACATGCTACGCCTGAAGGAGCGTCTGTACACAATCCGTATGACGGAAGGTACTTCTATTAAATCTCACTTAGATGAATTCAATTCTATTTTATTGGACTTGGAAAATATTGATGTCATAATTGAAGATGAAGATCGTGCTGTTTTATTGCTTGTCTCTCTCCCTAATTCATACAAGCATTTCAAAGAAATTATGCTGTATGGTAATAGTAGTGATACCCTTACTTTCGACAATGTTAAGTCAAACCTATTGTCCAAAGAAAAGTTTGACTTTGAAATTAAGTTTGAGGACAAAGGTGAAGGCTTGACTGTAAGGGGTCATTCACTTGAAACAGAGAGTAGCAATAAAAAATCTAGATCCAAGTCCAACAAATCTTGTAAGTACTGCAAGAAGCATGGTCATGATGTGACTAAATGCTTCAAGCTGAAAAACAAGCAAGAGAGAGAAAAGAAGTCCGATGAAGCTAGTGTTGTTGAAAGTGATTCAGATGGTGATGTGTTGTTATCTGTTAGCTCCGGTGAGAAACGAAGTGAAAGCGAGTAGATTTTGGACTCTGGTTGTACATTCCACATGTGTCCCCACAAAGATGGTTCATCTCTTTAGAACCGGTTGATGGTGGAGTTGTCTTGATGGGTAATGGTACCCAATGCAAGGTTAGTGGAATTGGAAGTGTGCAGATTAAAACTCATGATAACGTTATCAGGACTCTTACCAATGTTCGGTATATTCCTGATTTGAAACGCAATCTGATATCGTTGGGCACCTTGGAATCTCTGGGGTACAAGTACATAGCTGAAGGTGGAGTTTTGAAGGTCATAAAAGGCTCTGTTGTTCTCATGAAAGCTTCTCGTTCTGGAAGCGTGTACGTCTTGCATGGCAGTACTGTGACGGGTTCAGTAGCGGTATCCTCATCGATGTCTGATGCGAATCTCACTCAATTATGGCATATGCGTCTGGGGCATATGAGTGAGAAAGGCATGCATCTCCTGAGCAAGAAAGGCCTCCTTGGTGGTTCAGGTACGGGTAAATTACAATTTTGTGAGCATTGTGTTTTTGGGAAACAAAAGAGGGTTAGTTTCTCTACTGCTACACACCGTACCAAAGATGTATTGGAATACATACATTCTGATTTATGGGGACCAACTAAATTCCAGTCTATGGGAGGCTGTAGATATTTTATGTCTATTATTGATGACTTTTCTCGTAAAGTCTGGGTCTATTTCCTGAAACATAAAAATCAGGCATTTTCTATTTTCAAGACGTGGAAAATACTTGTTGAGACTCAGACAGGTAAAATAGTCAAGAAGCTCGGGAAAGACAATGGCTTGGAGTTCTGTGAGTCAGATTTCAATGACTTTTGTGCGGCAAATAGAATCGCCAGGCACAAGACCTTGCCTGGTAAACCCCAGCAGAATGGTGTTGCCGAACGTTTGAACAGGACTCTATTGGAAAGAGCTCGTTGTATGCTCTCTAATGCTGGGTTATGGAAACGGCATGATTTTTTGGCCGAGGCCGTTTCTACTTCTTGCTATTTGGTAAATAGATCTCCACATTCATCTCTTGATTTCAAAATTCCAGAAGAAGTTTGGTCAGGTAATCCTGTTGACTACTCTATCTTAAGAGTTTTTGGATGTCCTGCTTATGCTCATTCCAGTACGAGTAAATTAAACCCGAGAGCTATCAAATGCATTTTCCTTGGTTATGCCTCTGAGTCAAAAGGGTATCGTCTATGGTCTCCTGATTATCAGAAAATCATTCTGAGTCGAGATATCACTTTTGATGAAAATGCACTACTTTCTTCTTGAATAGTTCCCAGTACAGGTGAGACGCAGAGTACTGGTGAGAAGGTGGAGTTTGAATTCAGGCCTATTGACAGTATTACTACCACTAATGGTAATACTAAAGATGATGCATCTACTAGCACCGCACCTCTCGTCGAGCCACAACGAGAGTATTCCATTGCCATGGATCGTCGTAGGAGGACAATTAAAAAACCTGCTAGGTACGGTAGTGACGATGAAACCAATTTGATTGCTTATGCTCTTTCAGTCGCATAGGAAGTTGATGGTGATCCATCCTGTTATTCTGAAGCTTTTCCTATTGATAAGTTCAAGCAGTGCTTGAGTTCAGTCGACTGTTCCAGTTGTTAATTCCCACAGTGGATTTGATCCAAGGTGGAGATTGTTAGGATAATAATTTTTGTGGCTCAATTCCATAATATTGTGTGGCACACATTCATTAAGACCACGCATCACCTTGTTGCATGTCTTCACGTCGTCTCCGACTTCGTCGCTCATGCCGCAGCTCTCGCAATTTTCAATGTATAAATAGAGCTTTAGGTTCCTTGTTTTCAATGTACTCATCATTACATCAATTCATTTATACTTGAATTCATCTATTCCCTATTTATATCTTCTCACGCATTTATATATATATATAATTTCCTTTATATTCTCTTTTAGAGATTTTTATATATATATATATATATATATATATATATATATATATATATATATATATATATATATATATATATATATATATATATATATATATATATATATATATATATATTCATTTATTCTTTCATTTAGTCATCTATATAACTTTCTTCATTTATGTATATTTTCCCTATTTATATTATTTAACTTCTCTATAATTCTCAATTTTCGATTCTTTGCTTCCGCATTATTCCGCTATATTCCTAACATTAAAAAGTTCAAATCTGACAGTTGTATTGAGTTACTGAACAAACAAACAAAACCCTTGAGATTTGAGTGTATTATCATCATGAAGTATTTCAGTATCAATGGTCAAATTTTGGGAATAATTGGGTTGTGCGTTCTGTAGTCTAGCTACACACACTTCAGTTGCCCAATCAACCCTATTAGAAACTTGTTATCCGGTCTTAGATAGGAAACCATTATCTCTCAATCTTAGAAATGGATTGAATTGTTTTTAAGGTTGAAATTGCACAGGTATACAAGTTAATGAAGTGATTTTAGGAATCTTTTGTGCCTTTTGAACTGTTGGAGGTTTGATTAGCCTTTTCATAAAATTTTAATAACACATAGAATTAATTGCACTTTTTTACAAACGAGTTTCTATAAACTATTAAACTCTTTCCAGCTTCCCCTTGCAGTTAACAATGTTTTACTACAATGACAACAACCATGGTGATGATGACAAAGAGGAAGAAGGAAACATCGTTAGTGATGACTCATCCCATGACTCTACTCATCCAAGTTCCGGGGCAAGTAACAAAAGGAAGCAGTTTGCACAACCGGCATCAAAAGCAATGAAACATAACATGTCGGTCGCCGCAATGCTTAGGAAAACCCCAGAAGAAGTTGTGGAAGAAAGACATAGAAAGGATAGTTATCAAAGAACCCTTGAAACTTGTACAAAAAGTAAAGAAGAGAAAGAGAGAGCTGCAATGCATGTTGCTTATTTTTTCTACTAATGCGGCATTCCATTCAATGTTGCAAATTCAAGGAGTTTTGAGGTCATGATTGAGTCCATTGGACAAATAGGACTTGGGTTGAAACCTCCTAGCTATCATGAGCTGCGGGTCACACTCCTAGAGAAAGCAAAAAAGGAGATTGACATGTTGAAAGAAAAACATAAGCGTGCTTAGAAGCAATATGGGTGCACGTTGATGTTAGATGGATGGACTGATAAAATGAATAGACACTTGATCAATTTCTTTGTCAATAGTTCTGAGGGGACTTTTTTCTTGGAGTCTATTGATGCATCAAGCGAGTCCCATGATGCAAAAATGTTAGCTAGGTTGCTTGAGACAAAAATTGAAGAAATCGGGAAGGAGAATGTTGTTCAAGTTGTGACAGATAATGGTGCTAATTACAAAGCGGCGGGTAGATTATTGGAGGAGAGAATACCTACGCTCTTTTTGACTCCCTGCACGGCAAATTGCTTGGACCTTATGTTGGAAGACATTGGAAGGTTGATAGACTTCAAGCAAAAGATTGAAAGTGCTATGTGTATCACTACCTTCATCTATAGGCATGGGCGGATTCTGAATGCTATGAGAGAGTTGACAGGTGGGAAAGATCTTGTGAGACTCGGAGTTACTAGATTTGTCACATCCATCCTTACTTTGCAAAGTTTGTACAAACAGAAAAAAGCTTTGCAAACTTTGTTTATTAGTGAACATTGGAGTGGCTCTAAATTGTCAAACACACAAGCTGGAGAAAGGGTATGTGACTCTGTGCTTTCTACTAGCTTTTGGAGTGGGGTGGAGGATTGCATAAAAGCATCTCAACCGATTCTTGTTGTATTGAGGATCGTTAATGGTGGTGAGACGTCAACTATGGCTGAGGTTTCCATGGCAATGGCGACTGCTAAGAAAAAATTGAATAAATCATTTGCAAACCAACCAATATTGTTGTCAAAGTTGATGGATATTGTGGAGGAGCGCTGGCAAGATCAAATGGAAGTGAAGTTATATGGGGCATCATTGTTTTTAAATCCTTCTAAATATTTTGATTTGAAAGTAAGTGATGTTGCAAGTGCTCACAAGCAATGAATATTATTTAATGATGTGCTTAAAAAGATAGTTCCAGATAGAGATGCACGAATCAAAATAAGTAACCAAGTTGATGAATATGATGGATTGCAAGGAAACTTTGGGATGCAAACCGTCAGACAACTTAAAACAAAAAATCCTCGTAAGTGTTATTTAAATTAAAGCAGTTTAAATAATGTCAACTTTTTATAAACAAAGTATTATAATTATTTATATTTTAGTTGATTGGTGGAATGCTTTTGGAGGCCTTCATTTCGAGCTCCAATCACTCGCAATGCGCATTATTTCCCTTTGTTGTTCATATGTCGGTTGTGAGCGTATAATCGGAAGAATGCTAATTGGTTTCAAAAGCAATGTGAAGAAGGGAACAACTTTAATCCATTGATCTTGAAGAGTTTCAATGGGAAAATGAATGGGTGAATGGTAGTAATGATGTCGATCATGCCGGGGATGAAGATCCTTTTCCAAATGATGATGAAGATATTGATGATGATGAGCAAATTGGGAGTGAGGGCCATAATGTTGGTGGTGAAGGACAAGGGATTGAAATGATGGAAGAAATATAGATGAACAACAAAGGAGGTGCTTGAGAATGAATATAGGTGATGGATTATATGAACCCGGGGGTCCGGATTATACAACCCGAATATATGTTGAATACGATGAACGGATAATAAAACGGTAAATATTGTATTAATTGGATATAAAATGCTATTACAGAGGTTCGGGACGTGTAATAACAAGACAAATGCTGTAGGAAAAAGTATGAGATGCCTGATTAGGACACCGGGGGGTGTTTATATACCCCCGGCCGCTACGGGCCCCGGGCCCGCGGGAGGAGCCGCGGTCCGCGCCGCGGGACTCGCTCCACGCGAGGACCCGGCCCTTGGCCGAGCACGGGGCTCGGCCGAGCCCACGTGGCCGAGCCCATGGGGCTCGGCCGAGCTCGGGGGGTCGGCCCACGCCGACCCCTGCTGGGCCGACCCCGGGGTGGTTCGTCCTGCTCCGGGGTCCGACCCGGTTTGTATCGCGTTGCTCCGCTCCGGCTCCGTGATTATTCGTCAGTCCCCCACTCTCGGGGCTGCGAGGAGTCGTCAGCGCGAGAGAGTAAAAATAAATTAAATAATTACGGGGCCCTGAATTATGTCCCAAAAATTCACCCCTTCTTTTTGTAGAATTCTTAGCGCGATAGGACTTCTAACTGGGCTGGAATTCAAGCTTGTGTAAATCCTCATCAGTTAAGAGTCCTCACCCTACCACAACCCTTCCACTTCCCCTTTAAATACCCCATCCATTCCTCCAAACTTCCTCACATTCCCAACACCTCACCTTTCCCTCTCCCCCAAAATTTCCCCCCTTTTCCCATAAAATGTCTCCTCTTCCCCCCCCCCCCCCCCCCCCCTTTTTCCCCCTCCCTCCCCTATATAAAGTAGCATTCCCCACACTCCTCACACACACAAAAGCCCCCAAAAGCTGAAAAAAATTTCTCCCTTTCCTCTCCCCAATTTCCGGCCGAGGACCTTCTTGAACACCTTGGCCACCATCCTCGTGTACGTGGCTCCCGAATTTTTGAGCCCGAACGCCATGACCCGATAGCAAAAGACCCCTTCGGGGGTGGTGAACGCCGTCTTTTCTTAGTCATCCTCGTGCATGAAAATTTGGTGGTACCCTCGGAAGGCGTCCAGGAAGCTCATGAGCGCGCATCCCGTTGTTTCGTCCACCAGCTGGTCTATGTTGGGTAGTGGAAAGGGGTCCATGGGGCATGCCTTGTTGAGGTCCGTGTAGTCCACAGACATCCTCCACGTAGGCGGTTTGGGTGCGAGGACTACGTTCGCGAGCCATGCTGGGTACGTGACCTCCCTAATGTGCCCGATCTCAAGGAGGGTGTCGACCTCCTTCTTCACGAACACCCGTCTATTAGCGGTGAGGTAGCGCTTCCTTTGTTGGACAGGCTTGGCTTTGGGGTCCACCGCCAGTTTATGTGTGATGACTTCCCGGCTGAGGCCCGGCATGTCTTCTGGACCCCAAGCGAACACGTCTTTATAGCTGCGGATAACCTCGACAATCTGACCTCGGAGGTCGGCCGGGAGGCCTGTGCCCACCTTCACCATCCTATCAGGTCGTCTGAGGTCCAGGATGACCTCTTCCGTCTCCACCATGGGTTCAGCGCGGGGCCGCTTCTCTTCTTCCCTGAGTGCCCTCTCGGTTACTGTGTGTACCTGGAGATCCTTCCTCGTCATTTGACGGCAGGCCTTCAAGTAGCAACTCCGGCTAATCTTCTGGTCCCCCCTCGCGATGCCCACTCCGGTGGGAGTAGGGAATTTGAGACAAAGGCGCTCCATAGAGATGACGCACCTGAGGTCCTCCAAGGCAGGTCTGCCAAGGATGATGTTGTGGGCGCAGCTAATCTTCACCACCACGAACTCTACATCCCATGTCTTGACGTGCGGCGGGGTGCCGATCTGCGCTTTAAGGGTGACGGACCCCTCTATTTCAATGGAGTCTCCGGTAAAGCCGGATAGTGGGGTCCGAACCTGGGAAAGCTGCTTCCTGGATAACCCGAGTTGCGTGAAGGTGTCATAATACATGACATTCACGGAGCTCCCCGTATCTACCAGTACCCGGTGGACAATGGTGTCATTAAGGTCCAAGCTGATTACCACTGCGTCCCGGTGGGGTAAGGGTCCGTCCGGGAGGTCGTCGTCAGTGAACGTTATGCGCTCCCTGCGTGTCCTCTTCTCATGGGGTGCTATGACGACCTCCCCAACGTACAGGCTCCGCGCCCACTTCTTCTTCTCGGCGGGTGTGTCTCCTCCCTCCGGGCCGCCGAAGATGACATGGATGACCTTCTTCTTCGGTGGGCTGTCTGGCTCGGTCTCCTCGTCCTCCGTGAGGTGGTCGAGCTCCCTCTTGCGCGGGGCGGAAGTAGAGGGCCCGCCGCCCTCCTTCTTCTTTCGGGTGTTGTCAGGGCCTTTTGCGTGGTCCTGCCCGGATCTCTTCACGTATTGCCCCAGGTATCCCCGTTGAATGAGTTCCTCAATCTGCCTCTTGAGGACCATACTTTCGTCGGTGTCATGTCCACGTTGCCGATGGAAGCGGCAATACTTCTTCGGGTCGGCTTTGGGGGAGACATTTAAGCATTCCTCGGGGAATGACACGATGCCCATGTCCTCGGCATGGTCCAGGATGACGCTAACAGGCTGTGTCAACGGGGTCAGGTGTCGTAGCGGGGCTAGACGGGGACCCCGGTCACGTCGCGACCGGGGAGGGCGGCGATCCTCTTGAGGGTGAGATGCCCTGTCGCCTTGTCCACGACCTTCCTCCTCCTCCCTCTTCCTCTTCTCTGCTGCCTCCGCATTGGCGTACCGCGCAGCACGGTCCATCAGTTCTGTGTACGTCTTCGGCTCATTCCGAACAAGGTCGCTGTGGAAAGGACTCGACCTGAGGTTGTTAGTGAAAACGGGATGGCGGACCTTTCATCAAAATTTGTTACCCCCATAGCTTCTTTCTTCCACTTACTCAGGTACTGCGCCAAAGATTCCGACTTGTCTTGCTTCAGGTAACATAGGTCGGCGAACTGCTTTCGCCGTTGTACGCTGCCCGCGAAGTGCGACATGAACTTCTTGGTCAGGACCGCAAAAGTGGGAATGGAGTCCCCCGGGAGGGACCCGAACCAGTCCTGGGCTTGCCCATCCAGAGTCGTGCAAAAACCGCGACACATGATAGCGTCATTTATGCCTGTCATCATCATGACCGCCTTGTACCTGTTGAGGTGGTCCCGCGGGTCCGTCGCCCCCGTGTAGGGTTTGATGGTCGGGAATCGGAAGTCTCGGGGTAAAGGCTCGGCCATGATGGCCTCCGTAAAGGGTGTGGCCAGGGCGTCCCGGGGCTCCGGGGACTCGTCGCGCGCCTCCATCTTACGCTGTAACTCGCGGATCTATCGACGCAACTGTTCCATCTCTTCGCGCTGGGTGCTCAGGGGTTGGCCTCTGGTTTCCCCCGAGCGTTCCACGGGTGGGGCCGGCTCCTGCTGCCTCGGGACACGGGGTTCGTGGCTCCGGGATCTCCGCGAGCACGATGACTCCTCCTGCCTGACGTGTGTGGCCGGCCCCGGCCCCAGGCGGTCTCGCGCCGGTACACGTGGGCCCAACCGCCCGAGCGCGGAGGTGGTACGCGCCGGCCGAGTTCGCTTTTTCTCTCGCTGCTCGTGTCAGCCTCGGGTGGCTTCCGCCCCGTCGCGCCTCCCAGAAGGTCGTGGTGAATTGACTTCCTCCTCAGCCGGCGCTGGGGGTTTGCGGGGCGCCTGAGTGCTGGGGCCACTACGCACCCTCGGAGGGGGCGAAGGTGGGGGCGCTGGGTCTCCCCGGCGCAGCCCTGCCGCGACGCGGATGAGCGCGTTCGCCGCCTGCTCTAGTATGACGGCATCTTGTTGGGAGGTCGGGACCTGAGGTGGTGCGGGTGGCGCTGCCCCGCCGAGAGGGCGATTGTTGGTGAGACGACTCCGAAGGTCCCCCACGGCCCCCTGCCGACTCCCGTTGATCTGATCCCGGAGGTCCTCCCCGGCCCCCACGGACATGGTCTGTCGGCTTGCCACGATCCCGTTGGGGCGGTTGACGAGGGCGAGGTCGCGTGGGTTGCGCGAGCCCTGCGAGTTGTGGGTGTTCGACCCGGATCTTGTCATTGCTGTCAATGAAGGATAATAGGGAGAGCGCTTAAGCTTGTACAGCCGCTCTCAACAAGAGCACCAATGATGGATTATATGAACCCGGGGGTCCGGATTATACAACCAGAATATACGTTGAATACGATGAACGGATAATAAAACGGTAAATATTGTATTAATTGGATATAAAATGCTATTACAGAGGTTCGAGACGTGTAATAACAAGATAAATGCTGTAGGAAAAAGTATGAGATGCCTGATTAGGACACCGGGGGGTGTTTATATACCCCCGGCCGCTACGGGCCCCGGGCCCGCGGGAGGAGCCGCGGTCCGCGCCGCGGGACTCGCTCCACGCGAGGACCCGGCCCTTGGCCGAGCACGGAGCTCGGCCAATGGGCCGAGCATGGGCTCGGCCGAGCCCATGGGGGCCGAGGCCGAGCTCGGGGGGTCGGCCCACGCCGACCCCCTGCTGGGCCGACCCCGGGGTGGTTCGTCTGCTCCGGGGTCCGACCCGGTTTGTATCGCGTTGCTCCGCTCCGGCTCCATGATTATTCCATCAATAGGAATTAAGAAGCTTAAGCACAAGGAGCAGTAACATCTTTTCTTTTCTCTTTGATTGTGCCCCTATTGCATTTAAATTATTATCTTAAACTTATGCAATGTTTCTTTTGTATTTGAAGTTGAAAGAGAATACAAAAAATTATATCATTCATTCTTGAAGTAAAAAGATGAGAAACGGGTGTAATTTTCCTGGTTGATATTAGGCCTGTAGCTATTTGTGCATGGTTTCTCATATATATAGTAAAAAGATGAGAAACAGGCTCTTTCTGTATTGTAAAAATGTTAACTGCAGATTATTAGTCAACAAGTGGAAACATGCTCATGCTGCTGCGGAAGTGTATTCATAGTATCATTTGTTCTTTAGTTGTAATTATGAGCAGTTGAGCATTATACTAATACACAAAATGAAGTAAATTAGTACTTTTTTTTTTTTTTGAATACAGGAAGTAAATTAGTACTTTAGTAGTTTAGCACCATAAAGTAATCAAATTATTAAATAAACAATTAAATAAGCCATGAAAATGAATAAAACAACCCTGAAAATTGGAATACATCAAATGATGCCACCAAATCGTTAAGTAACAACGTTATTTTTAAAATAATAATTACAAAAAGTTTTAGAGTTAAACTTTTATATATATATATATATATATATATATATATATATATATATATATATATATATATATATATATATATATATATATATATGGTCAGGTTCATGTGAGAACAGGTCTTCCCGTGCGGTCAGGGCGGCATACACCATTAGGTATGCATAAATGCACTACACAGTGTTTGAAAACACACTATTATGTGGGGTGTATTTTCTTTTTTTCTTTTTTTTTTTTTTTTTTTTTTTTTTTGTGTGGTGCATTTTTTGGTATTTCATTCTGGTGTATTCTCGAACACTATATGGTGCATTTATGCATACCTAATGGTGTATGCCGCATTGACCGGACGGGAAGACATGTTCTCACAGGAACCAAAATTTACACAAACACACACACACACACACATATATATATGTGTGTGTGTGTGTGTGTGTGTGTGTGTCCGCGCGAGAAGTAATTTATTATGCGGTTATGTGAAGTCATCTAAAGGAGAAAAGAGCTACTTGGCATCAAGAAGAGTCCGATTATTTAATTTGAGGCCAAATCTCCACTTATGAAAACATTTTAGAGTTAAAAATTTTTCTAAAAATTACTCACAATTTCTCAATTTTCATAAAATTCTCAATTTTTTTATAATTTTTTTTTTTTTTTTTGTAATAGATAAAAATTGCAATCACTATCTAAAGAGTGCACACCTAAGGTGTATTTACTTTCGTTTGCTCAATAGGATTCGAACCTGTAACTTTTTATTTAGAAGGATAATTAGATTAGAATGTGTTGGCGGCAAATTATGCTGTTGCAATCACCATGCATGGTGCATACGGATGCAAAAACGACGTCGTTTTAATAAAACGCGCGTCTCCCCTTAAAAAAAAAATCAGGTTCGATTCCCAGCAACAACATATGAACTAAAATTCCGTAATCGATGAACTATAATTCCATAATCTAATCTATGAGCTAAAAATTCCAGAATGAATGAACTAAAATTCCATAATCTATAAACTAAAATTTCAGAATCGATGAACTACAATTCCATAATCGATGAAATATAATTCCATAATCAATGAACTATAATTCCATAATCTAGGAACTAAAATTTCAGAGAATGAATGAACAATATAATATTGTTGCTGGGAATTGAACTTGATTTTTTTTTTAAAGGGAAGACGCGCGTTTTGGCATCCATATGCACCATGCATGATGCATACGGATGCACAGCATAACGATTGGTGGTTGGCAATTAGCAGTTAGTATTCTAATTGAGTAATTGGAATGATAGAAAAAAATAGAAAAAAAAAAGTAGATACTTTTGCCCATAAAAGATAAAAGATAAAATGGTCCGTAAATAGCAGCATGCTTGGCGCCACCCATGCATGCCTACCACCCCCACTCCGCCAATCTCTCCTCCGCACACATTTTCCGATCATTGAAGCTTTCCACTTCTTTCTCTCTCTTGCTTTCTCCCTCTCTTCTACTCGTTCAATAGTTGATTCCTACTTTTTTCCACTTTGCAAAAACTTTGAAGATAACGTAACGTCGTAATTATATTAACAAATTAAGCTAATAGCTATGCTTTCCAGGGAATTGGAGAAAGAAAGGAAATCGCCGATTTGAGAGATGGACGGAAGACTTGAAGACGACGATCGGAGCGCCCTGGCGGGGCTCTCCAATTCGCCGCCGCACCGTAAGGCCTATTCCTACAGCCAACAGTTGCGGACCAACACCGGCACGCACCACAAGCGGCACCACCAGTTCCGCAAGCACAGCCTCGACGACGACCGCATTCCACAAAAGATTGGCAGCGCCGCCTACGTCGCCTACGATAACTCCTCCTCCGAAGATGACTTTTATCCTTATTCCATCAGCAACACCACCATCGGCGGCAGCGACCGCTACGAATTCCACGCCCTCAGACAGCGTCTCGATAGCATTCCCTCCGAAGATTCCGATGAGTTGCCCTACCAGCAATCGATGCCCGAGTTCGTCGGGGCTGGTGGTACCGGTATTTTTAAAGTCCCCTCACGTGCCGCCGTACACCCCGGCCGTCCGCCTTGCCTTGAGCTAAGGCCTCACCCTCTTAGGGAAACGCAGGTACCTACCCTACAATATAATGTTCCCTTATTTTTATTTCAAATTTCAAATTACAAATTACAATTTACAATTTACAATTTACAATATAAAACAGCCGATTCAAATGCCAATATTAATTTACTACAATTATTAGCTTTTTCATTTCAAATCTGGCTTGAAATTAGCTAGCTAGGATCGATGCTGTGTTGTTTTTACATACTGCATGCCATTTTGACTTTCAGGTGGGGAGATTTATGAGAACGATCACTTGCACAGAGACACAGCTATGGGCAGGGTTGGAATGCGGGGTAAGAGTGTGGAAGTTTTCAGATGCGTATGAGCCGGGACTGGGGATTGGGGGAAGAGCTAAGAGAGGGGACGAGGACGCTTCACCATTTTATGAATCTGCGAATACATCTCCCACACTATGTTTACTGGTTGATCAGGGCAGTAGGTCGGTATTGAGTGGGCACAAGGATGGCAGGATTAGGTCTTGGAAGATGGACCAGGGTTATGATGATGCTCCTTTCAAGGAAGGCCTTTCTTGGCAGGCTCATCGTGGTGCAGTTCTTGCCATGGTGATTTCTTCATACGGTAATCATTGTGTTGGTCGATGATAAATTATTACTGTATGTTTTAATTTTTGAAGTTTTGCTGTTCAGACAGTAAATCCAATTAATTAATGTTATTCATTTCATTTCATGGATATTTGGTCCAGGTGATATATGGTCTGGTTCTGAGGGTGGATTCATAAAGGTTTGGCCATGGGAAGTGATCGAAAAATCACTCACTCTTTCTCCAGAAGAAAGACATATGGCTTCCTTACTAGTGGAGAGGTCAAACATTGATCTTAAGAGCCAAGTTACTGTAAATGGTGTCTGCAATATTCCATCCTCTGAGATTAAGTGCATGCTATCTGATCATGCTAGATCTAAAGTTTGGGCTGCTACATCTCTGTCCTTCTCATTGTGGTATGCCTTTATTTAAAGAACTTTGTTTGTGTTCAGATCCTGTGATATTTGGACTATCAATTTTTCGTTTCTAAAGAGACTAATGCATTATGGCTGAAACAGTTTCGATTGTATATGTTATTCCAGTTCTATAATGATTTTTTTTATTTATTTATGTAAAAAGGCTGTACATTTGCTTTTGTCATTGCCAAGAGATGTGTGTTATTTCTTGCAAGCCCTGATTATCCTGATAGTTGGTGAATTTCAGGGATGCTCGTACCAGAGAACTTGTGAAAGTATATAATATAGACGGTCAGGTTGAGAACCGAGTTGAAATTCCATCAGCGCAAGACCAAGCAGTTGAAGATGAGATGAATGTTAAGTTTGTATCTAAAACTAAGAAAGAAAAGTCAACCTTTTTGCAGCGGTCACGCAATGCTTTAATGGGAGCAGCAGATGCTGTTCGTCGAGTTGCAACTAAGGGGGCAGGGGCATTTAACGAAGATGCTAAGAAAACCGAAACACTGGTTCTTGCTTCTGATGGAATGATTTGGGCTGGAAGTTCTGGTGGCTTACTTGTGCAGTGGGATGGAAATGGAAATCGAGTGCAAGATTTTCATCATCATCCTTGTGCTGCTCTATGCTTTTGCACTCATGGATCGCGAATCTGGGTTGGCTATGTTAGTGGGATGGTCCAGGTGCTGGACCTTGAAGGAAATGTGCTTGCAGGTTGGATTGCTCACAATGGCCCTGTTATGAAGATGGCAGTTGGGAATGGCTATGTCTTTAGCTTGGCTAACCATGGTGGGATACGGGGGTGGAGCATTGCCTCCCCAGGACCCACTGATAGTATTGTACGACCAGCATTGGCAGAAAAAGAAGACACGTATACTACACTTGAACATATCAGAATTTTAATTGGAACATGGAATGTTGGTCAAGGAAAGGCATCTCAAGAAGCACTTATGTCATGGCTGGGTTCTACAGTGTCAGATGTTGCGATTGTAGTTGTTGGGTTGCAAGAAGTGGAAATGGGTGCAGGATTCCTTGCCATGTCTGCTGCAAAAGAAACTGTAAGATCTTATTACTCACCAATTTAGAAAAGGATGAATTGGTCCCATGATTTTTTTTCTTCTTGTGCTTTTATTATTAGGGTGGGACATAGGGTGGAGGGAACTTATGCTGCTTTAATTCATTTTTTTACTTAAAAATTTTCCTGGACTAAAAATTCTCTGACAGCAGGATATGTTTTTCTTCTTACTGATGCAATAATGTCAGTATAGTAATCTAGGAAATGCGACAAAATTACTAGAGTATGCATATAATTGCAGTGAAACTCTATCATGGCAGGCACGGGATAGTATTATCTTATTTTGTTCTCTTAGTCTGTGTGTGTGAAAAGTTTTCTAATCCCTTCATGTCAATTGTAGGTAGGACTCGAAGGAAGTTCTCTTGGACAATGGTGGCAGGATGCTATAGGAAAGGCTTTGGATGAAGGATCAACTTTTGAACGCGTTGGCGCAAGGCAATTGGCTGCCTTACTTATAACTATCTGGTAAGAGTCACCAATAGCTCCTTTAATAGTATTACACCACATTTTATTCAGATATTACATTACTATCCTATGATACTCCCTCCTATGCGCATCTGCATTCTGTAAAACTCCAAAATCTTATTGTTGGCTTAATGTTCTTATTCAGGGTAAGAAAGACACTAAGGACACATGTAGGGGACCTTGATGTTGCTGCAGTCGCATGTGGTTTGGGCCGTGCAATTGGTAATAAGGTAAATTTTGTCAAGACATTAACAGATGACACCATGAAGTTGGAGCTTATTGTCTTTCTGGAGAATGTTAAGGCTGTATTAGTATTTCCTTTTCTTTTGGGGGGGACATTGACCAAATGTATAAATTGTCCAACAATCTAGGTACTGAATTTTATTGGAGAAACCAGGGGTTGAAGGATCAAAACACTGAAATGTGGATTTAGATACTATACACATAAATAGAAGCAATAGATATTTCTATACTAATTTTTGCCCTTGAGAAAGCAGAACATTGGAATAAATTTTACTGGTTTTCTAAATGTTGGCTTTTATATTTCCATTTTTTCATCCTAATTTCTATGGTTTGTGCTGCTTTAAGTACTAATACAACTGTTATTCTAGATTCCTTATCGTTAATATAAATTTTAGCTACAATCATCACAGCTAGTTATCATCATGCAATTATCATGCAGGGCGGTGTAGGTTTGAGGTTGAGAGTTTTTGATCGCATAATGTGCTTTGCGAACTGTCACTTTGCAGCACATCTGGAAGCAGTGAATCGCCGAAATGCTGATTTTGATCATATATTTCGAACAATGAGTTTCAGTCGGTCTTCTAACACCAATGCTGTTGGTATGCTGCCATATCTACTCTTGTTTTGCTTTCTTGTGTACTCAGCATATTTATTTTGGTTACTTTATTCTTGTGGCTTGCCGTGGATCCCCTTTCACAGCTCCTGTCTCATCTGCTGCTCAAATGCTCCGTGGTCCAAATGTATGGAGATTCTCTTTCTAGCAATAGTTTCATCAATCAATTTATTAATTACTGAAAAACTTTTCAACTGAAGTGAAGTGGTTGTTAATTAAATAACAGGCTGCAGCAGTTAATCCTGATGAGGGAAAGCCTGACCTCGCTGAAGCTGATCTGGTCGCTCTTTGTGGTGATTTTAATTATCGTCTTTTTGGGATATCTTATGATGAAGCAAGGGACTTTGTCTCACAAAGATGCTTTGATTGGCTTCGAGAAAAGGATCAACTGAGAGAAGAAATGAAAGGTGGTAAAGTTTTTCAAGGACTGCGCGAAGCAATCATCAGATTTCCTCCAACATACAAGTTTGAAAGGGGGAAGCCAGGGCTTGGAGGTATCATTTGAATTCAATGTTTTGATTATTTATATATATATATATTATTCCGATGAGCTGAATGCATGAGTTACGTTTCTCCTCAGCATATAACATTAATAACATTCCTCCGTCTTTAAACTTTAAGGATATGATTCGGGTGAGAAGAAACGAATCCCAGCCTGGTGTGACAGAGTACTTTATCGAGATAATCGAGCATCTCCATCAACGATATGCAGTTTAGAGTGCCCTGTAGTTGCTTCCATTTTACAGTAAGCTTCGCTTCTTGACGTACTGCTTCATTCTAGGCTTCGGATCCGTGACATTACAATTACAAACTATTTTGATGACATGCAGGTATGAGGCTATTATGGACGTGATAGAAAGTGATCATAAACCAGTTCGATGCAAGTTAAACGTTGAGATTGCCCACGTTAATAGATCCACAAGGAGACAAGAGTTTGGGAAAATTTTTCAGTACAATGATAAAATCAGGGAAGCACTGCAGGAACTGCATTTTGTTCCAGATATAAGTTATAACACTGACAAGATAGTTCTTCAGAACCAAGAATCTTACAATCTAAAAATAAGCAACAGAAGTGGAAAAGATAAAGCTTTCTATGAGATAATATGCAAAGGGCAATCTACATTGGAGGACGAGAAGCAATTAGATTATCGGTCGAGAGGGTCCCTGGGTTTTCCTCGGTGGCTTGAGGTAAGATGGATAGGATGTTGTAATAGTTTTATAGTAGTTTTACGTAGGTTTACATGATTGGATTGGATTGGATTGGTGATCAGGTTACACCAGCAGTTGGCATGATCAAACCTGAACAATCCATAGAAGTCGTAGTGCGGCATGATGAATACCATACCTCGGAAGAATTTGTTGATGGAATTCCACAAAGCTGGTGGTCTGAAGACACGAGAGATAAAGAAGTGATTCTGTTGATCAATGTGGAAGGCAGTCGGTCCATGGAATCAAGAACACATGAGCTTCATGTGCGCCACTGCTTCACACCCAGTGCAATCAGCAATGAACTGAGAAGCAGCAGCACTAAAAGAACAACAAGTGGACACCACCGGCCTTCTCTTAGGCATGTAAGCAGTGCCAATAGTGTGGTGGATGATCACCGAAATTTGCGCGTTCCTTAATTAGGACCCATGCTATGCTATGCTATGCTGCTGCAGACTGCATCATACCTCATCGATATATAGCATCTTGATGTAAATACATACACCCTTTAGTTTTAATTTGAAGCTCTCCAGCTCAGAAATTTTGGTATAGATTCTAAAAATTTTCCCCACCTCCATTCCTACCTCTTTGTCTTGCCAAACAAACTAATGTACCTGGCCTGCTTATGTCAGAAAACAATTACATACATATATTTTTTTTAGAAAAAGGAAAAAGGAAACTAATTAACCCCATAGTTTCGTACTTAATTACAGTGTTCCATGTTTCGCTTTCTAATTTTTCCAAAATGATGATTGTTCAACTATATAATGCTATTTCTCAATTTTGTCACACAACTTTTAATTTCATGTAAATTAGTCCTCTAATTAGTAATGTTTACCAAATATGGTCCTTTCGTTAGTTTAATTTATTGTTAGATTAGTGTTAAATGTGAGGGTGAATGAAATTTCTTGTTTTCCTAAATACACCCATCTTGATGCAAAATATATTAAATTGTTAGAAATCTCTATTTACTTATTTCTAATTATAAATAAATAATCATTACTAAACACCTAAAAAATCTATCTAATTGTTAAAAAAAAAATGATTGCATGTGTTGGATAGTAGAAGTGTTTCTTGGAAAAAGTGCTTGTATTCTGTAATACATTTGAGATACAACACAAATGCATAAGACAATATGGAACAAAAACGGGATTATTTGATATATTCAAGTTTTAAATCTCTCCCTATAAAAGCAACAAGGTTCGATATTTAATCTTATGGAATACAAGAAGATGAATGAAATTCTCAAGTTGCTTTGTTTGAGAATTTCCTGTAGAATTGTAAGACTGTGAAATATCTCAGTTTCCTGCAAGATGATTGCCTCTCAAATTGCCTGTTAATTTTTCTGTTTTTCATATGTCTCTCCAAACATTTATATAAAATATTTTGACGGTTAGGAGAGGTTACATGGAAGTTACCAGTAATTTAAAATTCCAACTTTCAAAAATATATCTTAAATGATATAATTTATCATAGGAGAAAATATTAAATTACATAAATCATGTTCAACATGAATATATACGTAATTATGAACCTTTGTAAGGTTACTAACCGCATGCAAATAACTGTGCAAGAATAATATATTTATATATTATAATTGCTAGCACAATTTTGCACATAAGTTTGAAAAGTTTGAAAGCTCACGAGCTGTATATTCATTCTCCAACTGAAACAATTTTCAATATTGGTGAATAGACAAAGCTCCAACTGAAACAATTTCCAATATTGGTGAATAGACAAAGCTCCAACTGAAACATATTCCGATATTGAAAAATGGACAAAGCTCCAATTGAAACATATTCCAATATTGAAAAATGGACAAAGCTCCAATTGAAACAATTTCCAATATTGAAAAATAGACAAAGCCTCCGTCAAAGCCCTTCCGGCAAACTCATTCTTCACCTGCTGTATTCAATTAACTTTCTACCAAACTAAAATAATATTTATAACTCTACAACTCCAAATATCATTTAAGCTTTCATGGTAGTCCATCTGAAAACATTAATCTGCGGTTACTATATAAATTTCCAACATTCCTCCTCCATTTATATAATAAAAATTAATACTGTACCAAGATAAATCCAAAACTCATGCATAAATGAAAGTGTCTTAGAGATTGAACTTTCACATAGTGTTATATGCGTTACATTAATTTGGATTGTAGTGATGGACGAACCTTGAATCACGCAGTCTCTTTGAAGAAACGTAGATATAACACACAAGTTTTACGATCATTACAACTCACTGTAACTTGACACTATTATGGCTATGTGTCCGTATCCATTAATGAGCATGTACCAAGTAAAGCCCAAACTTGTTTGAAGCGGCCACACTTCATGCTCACAGAGGCTAATCTTTTATATCATGCACTGCACCTTGCATTTTTTCAAAAGATCAGTTAAGACTTAAGAATAAAAACTCATCCCTACAACAATGCAGAACCAAACATCACTTTTTCTTGGGATACAATTTTTAATATAAACTTTTGATGCTTGCAATCACAAATGAAGTACTCATCTACATTGAACTCAAGGTCTAACGTAATAACTTAGACGTGAGTTGAGCTTTCTTTCACTTGCAATTAAATAATAAGGCTTTTCGATTTCTTTAGAACCATGTCCCTGCAAAGACTTTTGCAAACGGATCCGTTAAAACCGGGACTGTACCAAGTCCAGTGCTCCAACACTATTACCTAGAATTTCCCACATAGCTAAGTCTCAAGCCCATGTGCCTTCACTTGCCATTATAAACACTTGTTTATATGATATGGCCAGTGTAGTAGCGCTATCATAATGTACTAAACTGGTGACATCGGTTTTGGCCAAACTGGAATCTAAATAATTAAATTCCTCAGCCAATCAACTTCTTGCATGTCAAAGCAAACGTAAGAAATTCAGATGCCTTAGTTGAAAAGGCAACTTTGCTCTTAGAAACCCATAAAACAACACCTCCTCCAAGCAGAAATATTCATCTACTAATTGAGGAACATGTTTCATGATTAGACATTCAACTGGCATTAGAATATCTTTTCCGGATGGAAATTTCTATTAAATATACTAAACAATAATTAATGATTTTATTCAAATATATCAAAATTTCTTTTAATCCCATCCACTTAGCCACCCGAACATGATGATAGATAGAATTTTAATATTCTATTAATGAACTGGTGAATAAAATATTCAATTGATTATACCGGAACCCCCTTTATAGGTTCCTAGTCAATAAATATTTATTTTTTGCAAATTCTATAACCAAGAATTTCAATCATCATGTTGAACTTATTAGCAGTGAGGACTCCTTAAAATAAAAATTCAACCTCCTCCATTTGAGACATCATCAACTTTGGAGAATAAACTTCCTCCATCCAGAGAACATCAACTTTGGAGATTAAACCATTTTGATTTTAAGCTTTTGACTTTTCATGTTTCTTCTAAACTGAAGAATCATATCAACTTAAATCATAATCCATGATTTAAATTTAAAATTCTTTTCACGGCTAATTACCATATTAGACAAACCAGTAAACTTGTTGGCTTTCACAATTTTAACACATTCTCAATATGCGAAACTGTGTGTTAAATACATTCATAAATTTTTATGAATTTCATTATGCATACTTCATGCATAAAAGTTTCTGCATGCCTTTATAAGAAATATAACATAATATTTCCGGGGCTTTCTGCCTTTATCAGAAATATAACAAATATTTCAAAGGCTTCCTGCCTTAATCAGAAATATATATAACATAATATTTCAAACTTTCACAAGGATAAAATTATCTGTGTGCTAAAATAATCAATAACTCGATGCATGACATTATAAAATAATTCCACAACTCTGTAACCATACAGAAGGCAACAGATAAATTAATATCACCAAATTTGCATCTCAAGATCCAACATATTATATATGTATCTTGTATACTATGCATGCAACTGAGACAAAATCTCAAAATAAAAATATTAATACACATGCATAAACATATCCTTGTAGCAGGCTATGCAAAACTCAAAAGAATCTCATGCATATCTTCTAGACATAAACCGGAACTTAACCAGTAAACAAAATAAAACTTGCATTCATGCCGAGGCCGAGACAAATAAAAGAGTATTGTACCGATGTCATCTTGTAACTTGTATCTGCTTTGATAATCCATCTCTTTCGGCCTTTGATGCACTAAAGCCACACACCCCACCGTGGAGAGAACATATCTTCTCGTTCCAAATGAATCATGAACACAGACTGCATATAAATCATTTTCGCATCTCACTAATCATCTTGGCATAATCTAATAACCCATGATTTTGTGTGAAGAAAAAAACAGATTGCATAACATGCATTGGAAGAACATGCATTAAATCCACATGTACAATACATGTCACTGCTCCATGCAAACTTCTGATGGATGTTGAGCTATGTGATGAAACAGAAACTTTGCATTGAGAGGGAAAGGTGAATACAGAAGATGAATGAAGTAACTGACTCTCAGGTCAATACAGAGCAGCTAATATACAACAACCAAAAAGACGCCAAAAATCGTTATAACAGATAGTGATGGCAATAGACGATTGAGCCCTTCTTGATTTCACTTTGTGTTGTCTAATACCCCCCGTAAGCTGGGGCATACATGTCTTGTATCCCTAGTTTAGATACAAACTGCCTGAATAAAGGGATGGCCAGAGGTTTAGTAAATCCATCTGCCACCTGGTTTGCAGACGAAATTGGCAGTAGCTTGATGAGCCCTTGATTCAATTTTTCTCGAACAACATGGCAGTCGATGTTGATATGTTTGGTGCACTCGTGAAAAACGTGGTTCTAGGCAATAGCAATTGCGGATTTACTATCACAAAATAATGTGGCTGGTTTGTGAAGGGTGATGCCCAGATCATGCAGGAGGTAAGCCAGCCATTGTACTTCACAAGCTGTAGCTGCCAAGGCTCTATATTCGGCCTCAGATGAAGATCTTGAAACTGTTAGCTGCTTCTTAGTAGGGGTGTAAACGAATCGAATCGAGTCAAATATCTCACTATTCGATTCGAATTCGACTATATATTCGAATATTCGTATTCGTATTCGTTTAATATTCGAATCTCAAATTTGATTCGTATTCGATTCGGCCAGTTTATTCGAATATATTCGATTCGACTCGAATATTCGAATTCGAAAAGTCAAACTTAATTTTTTACAAATTATTCAAATAAATTAAGATAAAATGTATTAAAAATTGATATTTAAATAGCATAAAATTTAATATTAATATACTAATCAAGAATCACATGAAAATAACAACAAAAAATCAATCATCAAATTCATAAATTAAGTACTAAAATAAAAATTTAAGTTTGCATTAAGCTTAACTTGAATCCAAAAAAAAAAAAGGTCAATAAAATCCATAAATTAAGTACTACAATAACAAATTACACTTCAACTATTATCAAATCATCATGTTCGCAATATGACATCAATTGGTTCTTCTTCCTCCTACAAAAAATGAAAATAAAGATAATATTATTATCATTCAATCAATAAAATATACTAAATTATTAAAGTAGAACTTACATATGTCATAATAGGCTTATCGATCCCATGAAGTTGACGAACCCAATCTGCTCCACAAATCAAAACTTGCACCATATCAGAAGATAGTTTAGCACGATAAGGATCTAAAACTTGGGTACCTGCACTAAATGTGGCTTTTGATGCCACGGTGCTAACTGGAATAGCTAAAACATCACGTGCTAATTTAGACAAAATATTGAACTTCAATTCATGAGATTTCCACCAAGATAAAGCATCAAATCCAGAAGTTACTTCACCATCTTGACACCTATAAACCCCTTCCTCCAAGTAAATGTCTAACTCTGATTTGTTTGGAGTTTCATCTTCAACACTGTCCAAATATTTATCATACAAAGACAAACCAGAAATGACTACTTTTCCTTTAGAAGTAGAGCATGTAGAAGCAACAGACAAACTCCCCACATGTGTCACAGAAGAACTACCTTTTCGAATTTTCATGTTATCAATTTGAACATATTCATAGAACAAGTCATATAATGCATCCTTGACCTTCGTCACATTTATACGTGCATCATTTGCATTATATATCTGGTTGAAAGCAAAATTAACCAACCTCATTTTGTACCTAGGATCAAGTATTGCTCCAATAGCCATCAAAAGATTGCAATCACCCCAATATTTGTCAAATTTTGTCTTCATCTTTTCAATCATATTTCTAATCAGCTATTCATGATGAAACTCATTTTCATTTAAGACATGCTTGACCCTCCAAACAACACCAAGAAAAACATTAAAAGTGGGGTAGTTAGTTCTAGAGATCACGTGAGTAGCTTCATAAAACGGCTCTAAGATGCTAAGAACATCCTGTATTCTAGTCCAATCTTCCAAGCTAGGACAACATTTATATGAAGGCTCTCCTTGTGCAAATATTGGAAATGCATCCTTAACTTTAATGGCTACAACTAACATTTCATATGTAGAATTCCAACGAGTAACACAATCAAGAATTAACTTTTTCACTGAAATTCCCAAATGATGCACAATTTCAGAGAACTTCAACAACCTAGACTCGGACTGATTAATAAATCGCACACTATTCCTAACATCTTCAACAATGGTTTTAATCGTAGAAATACCATCTTGAACAACAAGATTCAATATATGAGCAGTGCACCTCACATGAAATAGCTTACCACCCAAAGGTAACTTATGACTCCTGGAGAAAGTTTGTTTGGCAATTCTAATTGCAACACCATTGTTTGAAGCATTGTCCACGGAAATAGTGAAGATTTTATGCTCTATCCCCTAATCTTTTGTGGACTTCATAACCCCATCAATGATATCAACACCTGAAATATGACAATAATATGATTAAAGTCAAGAAATAATTAGTAATAATTAATTAATTAATATATAGATATATTTACAAACAAGTGAACAACATTACCAGTATGTGGAGGAGGAAGATGCATGAAACTAAGTACACGCTTTTGAAGTTGCCAATTTGAATCAACAAAGTGTCCCGTGACACACATATATGAAATCTTTTGCACCTTAGACTTCCAAATATCAGTGGTCAATGATATCTTATTGATGGTTCTTAACAGTAATTGTAACTTTTTCTTCTCTATTTCATAAACAGTAATAACATCATTCCTTGCCATGGCACGAGAGAGTTTCTCAAATTGTGGAAGATTAGCTTTGAACATAAAAGTAAATCCATAATTTTCCACAACATTTAACGGTTGCTCGTGCAACAGAATCCAATGAGCAATAGCTTCTCTTTGCTTCATATGATCATATTTACCATATGACAAAAGAGGTGTCTCAAACTTGGATTTTGCATTCTGGAATTGCAAGGTTTTTTGATTTTTTGAATGAAGCTTCTTTTGTGTACACCTATTCAAATGGTTCCAAAGATGAGTTGTTGTAGAAGACGCTGACTTAGAAAGGAGTGTTTTACAATGTATACATTGTAGCTTTATACTTCCATCCTTTGCAGTAACTTCATTAAAATCAACGTAGACTTTTGATACCCTCTTTCTTTTCTTCCTTTGAAATTGGTCTTGATCATCATTCTTTTCACATTCTTTCTCATCATCACCTTTTTCATCTCCAACATCTATATTTTCATTTTGTACACCATCATCATTAACCCCCACATTAACATCCAAGTCGTGTACATTATCCCCTCCATCATTAACTTCATTAAAATCAACATAATTGATTTCCTGAAAAAGTTTAGAAGCATTCACTAAAGTTTAGACAAGGAAACAAATTCCAACTACAAGTACAAGGGCAATAAAAATGATAGCTATTCAATTACTTATTCTAAGACCATATATTGAGAAAAACTATGAAAATTTAGATAATTACCTCATCCACCTCATATTCTCTAACCTCATGTCCTTGTGTTTGCTTTTGCTCATTTCCTTGTGCTTGTGTTTGCTCATTTCCTTGTGCTTGCTCATTTCTTTGTGCTTGAATTTGCTCATTTCCTTGTGCTTGCTCATTTCTTTGTGCTTGTGTTTGCTCATTTCCTTGTGATGGCTCATTTAGATTTGAAGATTTCATAGTCACAAAGAATAATCTACTACCTAAATAAATCTGCCCACAAATTCAATAATCACTTTTTGAGTACTACAATAATATAAATTAAATAATTTTCAAATTCAATTCACAATTACTAAATGCATCATAATCCAATGGAACATGGATTTAAATGAATAGGCCTAATTATATGGATATTACTCTTAATACTACGGAATAATCTACGTGGCACTGGGAACCCAAAAAACAAGTGTATATACTGTATACTCCCCCAAATCATTTGTAAGAAAGGAGATTCCTTTACAACTTCATATTACTGTATTGGATAAGTAAGCATTAAACAAAAAACAAGTGCATGTACTGTATAACTTTCACTGTCAATGTTGTTCGGAGAGACAGAACCAAGCTGTTCAGTTTAACTTTCTTTGTCAAAAAAAATGGTTGAAAAAAATAACATGTATACAAATAAAAAAAATAACAAATAACTAACATTTATACTTACTGGTTACTGCGCCGGAGAAGAAGCACCGCGGACACCTCGCACCAGAGAAGTTGCCGGAGAAAACAGAAGGAAGAGTGTTGTGCTGTCGTCATAAGTTGTCGTCCTACGCCGGAGGAAACAGAGAAGCACCGCCCTTGCTGCCCTACGTTGCTGGAACCGTGTCCTTGCCGTCCATCGCTGCTGAAACCGTCACAGAGATCAAGAGTGGAGGCGTTGGAGCTTCTCTGGTGCGGAACCTTCACAGATCTGGAGATTGGAGTTCAGGACTGCAGGCGTTCTCCGTTCTTCTCCGTTGTTCCGCCGAAGAGAGTTGTAGGGACTCGTAGCCACGGTTTTTGGAGTTGGAGGGATAAGCGTTAGACAGCTAGGGTTTTGCTTTAGTTTTAGTACTAATAATCTAATATAAAATATATAAAATATTATATATTATATAAAATTATATATTCGAATATATTCGAATATTATTCGAATCGAATATTTTCATATTTGTATTCGGATTCGAATAATATTCGAATCAGTATAAGTATTCGAATTCGGATTCGAATTCGAATCACGAATCGAATTCAAATTATTTGATTCGTTTACATCCCTACTTCTTAGCTTTCCATGAAATCAGTGCCTCTCCCAGAAATACACAATATCCAGTAAAGGACCTTCTTGTTTCGTTGCATGCTGCCCAGTCCGAGTCAGAGAAGACTTTTAAATTGAGTTGTGTGTTAGCTGGATAGAACAATCCTTGCCCTGGGGAGATTTTAATGTATCGTAGCACTCGGTGTGCAGCCAATAAGTGATTTTCTGTAGGGGAATCGACATATTGGCTTAATTGTTGAACGGAATAGGCAATATCGGGTCGAGTGGCTGTGAGATAGAGCATTCTACCAACCAATCTTCTGTAGCAACTAGGATCAGCTAATGGAATTCCATCACCATGTGAGAGTTTTGATCCTTGAGCCATGGGAGTGCTTGCCGGCTTACAATCTAGGAACCTGCATCTTCCAGAATGTCCAGCGCATATTTACGCTGGCAGAGGTTTAGTCCATCACTTGATCTGCATGCTTCAATCCCCAAAAAATAGCCAAGGGGTCCTAGATCTTTGATTTTAAATTTGCTGTCCAGAAATTGCTTGACCGAATTGATGGCTGATATGCTGGCACTGGCAACAATTATATCATCAACATATATTAATAGAGCAACAAAGTCATCATGAGCTCCTTTTGTGAACAATGAAGGCTCGGATTTAGACTGATGAAAGCCAATCTTGATGAGTGCAGCAGTGAGCTTCTCATTCCATTGGCGGCTAGCTTGTTTAAGACCGTATAAAGATCTTAATAACCTGCAAACTTGATTTGGCTTTTCGCTTTGAAATCCGGGTGGTAGAACCATATATACTTCTTCATTAAGATCACCATGTAGGAACGCGTTGTTAACATCCATTTGATGTATGTTCCAAGCCTTAGATACTGCCACTGCTATGAAGGTGCGGATGGTGGTCAACCTAGCCACTGGTGGAAACGTCTCGATGTAGTCCACACCAAACTGTTGGGTGTAGCCTTTCGCTACTAATCTGGATTTATGTATCTCTATTGTGCCATCCACATTAAGCTTAGTCTTGAATATCCATTTACATCCAATCGGTGTCTTTCCTTGTGGCAATTCTGTTAGCTCCCATGTGTTGTTGTTTTGGAGGGCTGCGATCTCCTCATTCATGGCCTTTTTCCAGCAGTCATGAACAACTGCTTGACCATAAGTTCTTGGCTCTTTAACATATGAGATTTCCATGGAGAATATCTTATGCGAAGATGAGAGATTATCATAGGATATTACCTTGGACATGGAGTGGGGTGATGTCTTGGTAGCCACTGTTGCATCACAGTAGTAGTCATGCAATTTTGTTGGAAAGTTTCGTGGTCTATTTGATCTCCTTGGCTGAACTGAAGGATCAGGAGATGTTATTGGTTCTACTGCCTCACTAGCTTCATCATTGGCTTCATGTAGTGATGGCTCATTGTAGATGTTTGGGGGGCTGCCATAAGAACTGCTGTCCACATTCGTGTTGCTTCCTGAATGGTGTGCTGGACTCGAGTTGCTGTTGTCACGAGTGTTTATATTAAGCCCAAGAGAAAGCTCATGATTGACATGGCAATCTGGGGGTCTGAACTCTGCAATATCATCAATGGACACATTTGGCAAGGATGGCTTGAATGTTTGCTTAATTTCTGCCATCTCACTCTGTTCAGCTAAGGGAAAGTAGTCTTCATAGAAGATTGCGTCCCTAGATATAAATGTTGAGTTGTCCTGCATGTCATGCACCAAATATCCTTTGACATGTGCAGGTATACCAACAAAAACACACCGTCTGTTGTGTGAAGCCATCTTGTGTCTCGAATTAGGCAATGTGGCTGCGTAACATAAGCATCCAAATACCTTAATGTTCCCAAGGGTAGGTTTCTCTCCATAGAGTTTTTGATAGGGACTAAGCCAATCAGTTACCGAAGAAGGAAGCCGGTTGATGATGAACGTAGCATACATCACACATAGTCCCCAGAATTCAAGTGGTAGTTTGGCTTGAAATCGGAGAGCTCTTGCCACACTCATGACATGTTGGTGTTTGCGTTCAACCACCGCGTTTTGTTGTGGTGTATGGACACATGACTTTTGATGAATGATGCCATTTTCAGCAAAGAAATCTACCATGTTGAACTCCATGCCGTTATCACTACGAAGGGTTTTAATAGCTAGGCCATGGTGAGTATGTATCTGCTTGTGGAAATTCTTCAATTTTTCTCGTGTTTCAGACTTGTTTATCATGAGATGAATCCAAGTGTATCTTGAATAATCATCTACTATGGTTAAGAAATACCTCTCCCCTCCCATAGATTTCACTAGAAAGGGCCCCCAAATGTCAACGTGGATTAGATCAAAACTAGCTTTTGATGATGCGCTGCTCAAGGGAAATGGGAGGCATTTTTGCTTAGCATAGTGGCATACATCACAAGGATCCATTTTCGATTGAGAATTAGGAACATCACAAAGGAGGTGAATTTTATTAAAGGGGAAATGCCCCAAACGTTTGTGCCACAACTCAATGGTGACACTGTTACATTGCACAATAGACTTGCTATGTGAGCTGATCTTTGGTGGTTGAAGCAGCAGATATAGGCCTCTTTCTTCTTTAGCAAAACCAGTTGTTCTCCCAAGGCTCCGAATCAGGCACTGTCCAGAATCAAACAGTAAAGTGTGAGAGGAATCTTTGATGAGCTTGCTTACTGAGACTATATTAAACTTAAACTGTGGAATGTGCAGAGCATTTCGTAGCCATAATTCCTTTCCCAGCTTGATATCTCCCATATGTTGTACGGTGACTGTTTCTCCATTGGGTAGATTTACCCTTGCTCCTTCAACAACATGACAAACATCAAAGAATTCACGAGAGCAAACTATATGATCAGTCGCTCCCGAATCTAGGATCCAAGTAGTTGAATCAAGATTAACGAAATTAAGAACGTGAGGAATAGTATGAGACTTGCCTGCATTTTGTGCCTCCAGTTTGTCAAATTTTGGGACGAATGATACAACAGCACTCATTCGTGGTTGGTTATGCCCCATCTGTGTTTGTAAGAGGGAGATCAGCTTTTGCATTTGCTCAGAAGCCGTGTTGCTTTCAAGATTAGAGCAGGCAGTAGGGGCGGCCATGGCATATTGCTTTCCCTTCGATTTATAGCCCGGCACCCACCCCGGTGGGTAGCCGTGCTTTTTGTAACATTTCTCGACGGTGTGCCCCGTCATGCCATAATACATGCACTTTGCATTCTTGTTTCCACCGGAATTCATGTTTCTTTTGCCATAATACTGATTCACTGCTGCAATGTTCCGGCGCGTTCTGACTGCTCTGTATGGAGTTTGCATGGCTGGTTTCCAGGTTCAGACTGTTGATGTTGAGTTGCCTTTCAAACTTCTCCGCCATCACATACACTTTGTGAATCTCGGGCAGAGGATCTAGAACCAAGACACTGGACTTCAAGGAATTATAGTCATCGTTTAATCCCTGCAAGAAACGGATTATTTGATCTATTTCGCAATCCTTTCGAACTTCATCGATTAGAGCACCTGAGCATAAGCAATGAGGGTTGCATTTGCAGATTGGAAGCGACCTCATCTCGTTCATCTCTTCCCACAGTGGCCTACACTTCATATAATAGTCATTGATCTATAAGCTTCCTTGTCTCAATCCATAAATTTCGCTCTGCAAAATCGATATGCGATGTGGATCGCGCTGAGAGAATCTCCTCTTCAAGTCGTTCCAGATCTCGTTTGCGTCATCCATATATATTATGCTTTGAGCGATCGAAGGATGCACCGCCTTGAGAATCCATGATTTGATCATGAGATTGCATTTCTCCAAGATGCGTAGTGTCCCTGGCTTCTATCTGGTTTCTCGATGCTTCCATCGACAATAGACCATTTGTTTTTCACTTCTAACGCAACCTGCATTGAAATGCTCCATGAGCCATAATTGAAATTTTCTGTGAGAGGAGGACTCACCACTATGTTGTTTGGATTCTCATTAGTGCTGAGATATAGTGGATTTTCTATATCTTCAGTGGCGTTCCTCTGCGGAATGACTTGAGGCATGGAGGTTTGCGGCGTTGCTTGAATCGGAGGTTGATTCATCGCCGGTGTGCGAGACGGCTGGCCGGTCTCACCGGTGCTGGAAACAGCAGCTGCATAACTGAACTTCCATGGCTCTGATACCATGATGGATGTTGAGCTATGTGATGAAACAGAAACTTTGCATTGAGAGGGAAAGGTGATTACAGAAGATGAATGAAGTAACTGACTCTCAGGTCAGTACAGAGCAGCTAATATACAACAACCAAAAAGGCGCCAAAAGTCGTTATAACAGATAGTGATGGCAATAGACGATTGAGCCCTTCTTGATTTCACTTTGTGTTGTCTAATACCACATATAAATCTTCTTGTATATTAAACATGACAGGCCAAAAGTGATTGCTATCATCCTCTCATCAGCCAATCGGAATCGCATTCCGAAAATATTACCGTGATGAGAAATCATTCTTTCACGCCTAACATCTTGCCTTCAAAACTTTCAAGGCAAGACCAATGATCACAGGTTTATAATTTTAAAGCTTATAGATTGTTGAAAAAAGTGCTTGTATTCTGTAATACATTTGAGATACAACAAAAATACAAAAGACAACAGGGAACAAAACCTGGATCATTTGATATCTTCAGGCGTATAATCACTTTCCTATAAGCTTTAAATCTCCCTCTATAAAAGCTACAGGTTCAAGATTTAATCTTATGGGGTACAAGAAGATGAATGAAATTCAGAAATTCTCAAGTTGCTTTGTTTGAGAATTTCCTGTAGAATTGTAAGACTGTGAAATATCTCAATTTCCTGCAAGATGATTGCCTCTCAAATTGCTTGTTAATTTTTTGTTTCTTTCAGATGTCTCTCCAAACATTTATATAAAATATTTTGACGGTTAGGAGAGGTTACATGGAAGTTACCAATAGATTAAAATTCTAACTTCCAAAAATATATCTTAAATGATATATTTATCATTGGAGAAAATAAATTACACAAATCATGTTCAACATGAATATATACGTAATTATGAACCTTTGTAAGGTTACTAACCGCATGCAAATAACTGTGCAAGAATAATATATTTATATATTATAATTGCTAGCACAATTTTGCATATAAGCTTGGAAAGTTTGAAAGCTCACGAACTGTATATTCATTCTCCAACTGAAACAATTTCCAATATTGGTGAATAGATAAAGCTCCAACTGAAACATATTTCAATATTGGAAAATGGACAAAGCTCCAACTGAAACATATTCCAATATTGGAAAATGGACAAAGCTCCAACTGAAACAATTTCCAATATTGAAAAATAGACAAAGCCTTCTGTCAAAGCCCTTCCGGCAAACTCATTCTTCACCTGCTGTATTCAATTAACTTTCTACAACTAAAATAATATTTATAACTCCACAACTCTAAATATTATTTAAGCTTTCATGTTAGTCCATCTGAAAACATTAATCATCATTACTATATAAATTTCCAACAGTGTTGAGATGAAGCACTCGCACATTGGCTATATATATACACACACAATAAACTAATGAATAGCAATTATATCGTGGACCATAGACGGTGGACCATGGTAAAAGAACGGCGCCCGTTTCTTTAAGTAAAAAAATGACTGCCATTATATCTTAACGGAGTCCGTATTTTTTGTGTGTTAATTACAAAATGAAACTAGAGTAGTGTATCTAAAATGAAATTGCCTCACATATTGTTTTTATATTATCAAATGAAACTGTAATTGAATTGAAATTAAACTGTAGTTGTGTTAAAATGAAACTGCAGTGTATATAAAATGAAACTGAATAACAGTTTTACATATTTGAGTGTATATTGTCCAGTGAAATTGTAGTTATATTGAAATGATATTGTAGTTGTGTTGTAATGATCAAAAGTATAGTTTATATATAAAATAAAACTGAATAACATTAATTTTCACATATTTGAGTATATATATTGTCCAATTAAACTGTAGTTATATCGAAATGATAATATAGTTGTGTTGTAATAAATTAAAGTATAGTTTATATAAAATGAAACAGAATAACATTTTCACATATTTGAGTGTATAATGTCGAATGAAACTGTAGTTATATCGAAATGAAACTGTAGTTGTGTTGAACTGAAACTGCAGTATATATAAAATGAAACTAAATATGTTATACAAACAGAGTTACTTTTCGTGGAACGGGTGCCGTTTCTTTTCATTAAAAAAAACGACACCGTTTTAATGCCTGGACTACAATGCATTGTGGACCGCTGTCCACAATATAATTTGGCAGTAATAAATAGGATATAAGATTTTTACGTGAAAACTTGAAAGGAAAAAATTAGTCGTTTTAGTGATATCAAATTAAAGAGGATTGACTATTTCTATACTTAATTTGTATAATTAAGTTTCTTGAAAGTCATGAATTGTGGCTTGTTAGTTGTTACGTACTTCGATCCGTTGTTGGTAATGACGAAGATCAAGATCTGTCTGATCTGAGAAAAGGGGCTACCAATTGTTACGTTGTAGCTTGTTAACCATACATAAAGAAGTGAAGGTCTATTATGTTAAACATACAGTAAACTTGGTTCATGAAACGTTTTCCCCACACACCCAATTCAAACATATGCTGACAACACGGGTTAAACACAATTTTATCAGAGTCGTAATGGGAACACATCACGGGTTAAACACATTTGTATTATTTAGTAAAAAAAAGGCTAAACATCTTTCAGGGTCGGTCCTATCATTTTATAGGCACCGGGCGTAGCAACAAAAATACAGGGCCTTTCATGAAATTAATATATATTTGCATAACTACATAAAAAAAAAAAATATACTAACTACAAATAACTTGAAATAAGATATATAAGTTTTTAACAATTTTGCATACACAATAACAATAATGAAAACAACTCTTGATGTTTTCATTAGTTATAAATGAATTTTTCTTTGTTGACTTAAAAAATTGCAAAATATTCAATAATTGCATATGTGACTTCAATTCATAAATAAAGAATTATAGTTTATAAAAGCGGATAAACAATTTAAAACCAAATAAATTTATAGACAATCACATTTTTATTATAATAAATAATAAATTAATCATTAGTAAAAATTATAAAACACAACTTACTAATAAGAGTAGAGCATGAAATCTTAATTACTGAAACAATAAATCAAAACACTTTAAAACGTGAGAAATGATTTATAAAAAAATATGAAACATGATTAATTGGATAAAATAGTTCAAATAGAAAAAAATATATAAATCACACATATTATCATATTTATAAATACTTTTTCTTTTAATTAGATCAATTTTAAGTCTTTTTTAGATTAATTTGAATAGAATGATGCATAATAGAACTTCTAAACTACATTCATTAGATAATTCTTAAAAAAAATATCTTTTAAAATAATTTCATAACTAAATCACAAAATATATTACATATACATAAATCATTATAAAGTTCACAAAATAACACATGTTCTAAATATTAGTAAATTACTCAAATAGATTTACACTATGATTTCACTAGTGTAATCATAAAACATTATTACAAAGTTACAAATATTTATTTTAGTGACATTTATAATCAATCTCTCATATATTATCTTGCATTTATATACTTTAAATTACCGATTTAAATAAACAAATTCAACATTGATTTACCTATGCATGAACATCTCCTATATAATATTGCATTGATATACTTTGAAATACTTATTTAAAAATAATTATTGGACATTATCTCATTGGCACAAAGCGTGTAAGAAAACTAATAATTATAGAAAGATAAAATAATTTTTTTTACATAATTACAACTCAAAAAATACAATTAGAAATAGAAATAAATTCTATACGTACTGTATAATATTCCTAAATTCATCTTCTAAAAAGTAGGAAGGAAAAATTAAATTTCATAAGTTATAATTTTAATTTTAATACTATATAATATAATATCTCTTATTTTAATACTATACTATATAATAATATAATATCTCTAAATTGGTCTTGGGAGAAATATTTAAAGTGAACAAATTTTAATATGGAGCCATAAAAGGTTTGACACTTTAACCTCAACATTTTGAAATCCAAAAGCCCCACCAACTAAGCTAAGTTAAATTCATTGAACTCAAATGTATATTAAATAATTCTACCTAAAATCTATAATATATATATAGAAGGTAGTGAGCTAAGGTGGTGGGCCCCTTTCAAGTGTGGGCTCTGGGCAAGGGCCCAGCTCGCCCTCGCCCTTGCCTAGAGCATCTTTTTAGTGTAATTACCCTAAGCATCTTTCTATACATATGTTGTACTACGGAGTGAAGTGTAACAATACGAAGGTAGTTCTCTGACAATTATCATAGTCATATACTTTTTTTTAGAAAAAATGAAAAGGGAAATATTTGAAAAACAGAGCATAATATATCCTGTCACTCTTTATATTCATTGTCAACACTATGTAGTTGCAAATCTCTTGCAGGTAATAAAGTAGGTGGGAAATTTAAGGAAAGGGAAGAACAAGTTGATGAAGAGATAGGACTATTATATAGTAATGTGATTGTAACTTTACAACCTTTACTTGGGAATAGACAATGGATCAAAATAGTAACTACAACATATCAGCCATTTGAACCTTGTTGTACCTATGAGATCAGATTATAAAAAATTGAAGGTTTCATTATCAAAATAGTAACTAACATTCTTCAATTTTTTCCTCCAGCCTATACAGCATACATTCTCTTGTAGCTTTCATTATAAAGCTCTGGATCTGATACCATGGACATTGAAAAAGAACGTGACAACGTCTCAGCTCTCCTTATATTTCTCATCCTCGACTCTTCCAACCGATGTCGAACCACACAGTAACACATGGACCCAATTGTAGTTAGCATTATAACGCCCCCTATTGCAGTTGCATAGATGGCAAGCCATCTTTCCCGAGATCCAACCACCACATAAGTAAGGGCGATGAACGCGATTGAGATGAAGAGGCAAGCTGCCCACATCAGCTTGTTTATTACAAACACCATTTGCTTCTTCGCCTTTTGTTCAATCACAACCAAGGATGTCTGGACAACCACAACAGCTATGGATATGAATAATGCAATGCTGTCAAACAAGAAGAAGACTATGAAAGCTGCCTTTTTGGCTATGTGGGCTTCCCCGAGAGAAAACCCTTTGGTGGTTTCCTCTTCAACATATTGGCCTGGCACAGTGAAGATTGCAGCAAAAGCAACGGTAGCAATCAGGACAGCGACGACTGTTAAAGAGTTTATGGCATTGTTAAGGCCACTGATGTGTAGTTTCTTCACTTTTTTTGCTATCTTTCTAACACGGAACCCAGTCTGTCGGCTCTGCTGAAGTTGGGATTCAACATCGTGCTTTATGTCACTAACGGTTTGTTTGAGTTGTTTTGCACCACTCCGAGTCGGAGGCTTCCCATGATCTTTAGAATGCACAGCTCCCGCGTCCCTTAAAATACTTGAAATCTCTCCACTTTCAAGCTTTTCTGCAATGTCAAGAGCACTTTCTCCTGCCTTGTTAACTGCATTCATATTCATACCCTCAACAGATACTAAGCACCCAACAATCTGCCATCAAACATGCACAATAAAATCATAACCCAATTTTGAATGTACACCTTAAACTCCAAGCTAAGCTAGATGAAAAAGACAAACCTGAGCCCGTCCCTTCCTCGTTGCAGTATGGAGTGCTGTGTTTCCCTTGTTATCTTCTAAACTCAGTACCTTTGGATCTGGTTTCATTAATTCAACCACAATATCAACATTTTGCCCCTTCACAGCCATGTGCAAAGCGGTTTGGCCTTTCTTGTCCATCCTGAACCCAATACCGGGATCCTTGCTTAAAAGGGATTTCACCACTTCCAAGTGACCCATTCTTGCTGCTGTGTGGAGCACCGTCTTCCCATTGTTGCGAGCTATTTTAGCAAGGTTCGAGTCAATATCAAGAAGCAAGTTTACAACTTCAACATGGCCTTGACCCGCGGCAGTATGCAGGGCTGTAGAATTGGACGAATCTGTAGTCATCACTAGATTCGGGAAAACGTTCAAGAGTTCCTTCAGCACTTCTGCAATTCCATTACAAGAATCAGAAATAATCTAGATAATGAATGAATGAGATATGAAATTACTGACCAAGATGACCCTGCTTAGCGGCAACATGGAAGGTATCATAGCCATTGTTGGAGACAATGGAGGCGGTTTGGAGGTCTATATGTTTGAGAAATTCTGCAACAACCATGGCATGACCATTCTCAGCACCAACATATAAAGCTGTCTCACCCTCCTGGTTCTGCTTTGATACTGATTCTTTTATGGCTATACCATTCAACTTGTTAAGAATTTGTATCACCTTAGCTAAATTCCCTGCTCGAGCAGCGAGATGAAGAGGCGTATCGCCTCGTTTCCCAGGAGAATCCTTCCCTCTTTTTCTCTCAACACCAAAGCTCACCTGCCTCTCCATTGCTATCCTAATGCTCTTTTGCCTCTCTTTCAAACTCTTCTGTTTTTCCATAACCCCATTTCCAAAACTCTGCTGTTTCTCCATTCTTACACCTCTCAAACTACTCTGTTTCTCCACTTTTCAACACCACTAACTCTAAATCAACACACCAAATTCTCTGTTTTTATAAACTTCAACAAAAATCCCTAGGGAAAATTAATGGGGTTTCCAGTTTAGATGAATTTAATCCAAAGAAGCAACCTTTTTTATAAAAAAAAAAAAAAAAGTACCTTTAATTTGATGCTTCTAGTACGATGATAAAACTTATCTCCAAACCTCAACAACACCCAGAGCTCAAGACTGGAAGAATTCAGCCCCCCAAAGAACCAAACTTTCAGAAGCTGAAATTGGAGAAAATTTATTTATCCACAAAGATTCTGTTCTCCAATCTCCAAATTCCAAATTCCAAAAGATGGGCTAAAAACTGACCACTGAGAATCCCAGAATTGAAGAGATCAAGAACATAAAGACAAAGGCTAAATGCCTTACGCACAGACTCTCGTAAAGCTATATTCCTGTCGCTCTGTATTTGTTTGTGTTTATTAACGCAATGTTTTTGGCTGCGCCTATAAAGAAGGAGCATTAATCTCGAGTGTAACACGTATATTGAAACAAAGATTGCAAAAGATGTATGGTTTTGACTTTTTGGTTACATTGATGTTCGTAACATGCAGATTCCACTAGAAAAGAATTAATTGTTAAAAATAATTAATAATTATAGAAAAAATATATATATATATGAGTGCGTGAATAGTGCAACATGGAAGCCGCCATGGGCGTAACATCAAACAGTTTATATGCACTTATCAAAGCGAAGGGGGGGGAGAGAATGAGAGATAGCGAGAGAGAGAGAGAGAGAGTATAATCAGTATATTTTGGCAATTTCCAATCAGCAGACATGGAATATGGAATTGTGGGACCCACAATGTGATGAGGAGGTTCCTTTCAAGAAATAACAAAAGAGAGACATGGACAATCAACAATGCTGTATATAGTAAAATTTGTTCATTACCATATAATATAATTTTACACAAAAAATTTTAAGGTACAAATCCTGCTTGATATTATTATTGTTATTATATGTTATACAAACAATGGTTTATGCTACATGGATAAAAAAAAAAAATTGCACCATTTGACGTGAAAATATAAATATATTTACTTTTAATGTATACTGAGGTTGATCAATTCATGATAACTAATGAATAAGATGAGTTTTATTACCACATCATATGGTGAAAAAATTTGGTGAAGAATGGAGGCAATCTCAACTTAATTGGTCGGACTGTTGTCTTCGTAACCACAAGGTTCCATGTTTAATTCTCAGTTAGAACAGTCTATTTGCCTTTTTGATTTGAACCATTTAGTTATGAACAACCTAAGGCTTTACCTAGTGTACACTCTCAAATAGTGAATGTGAGTTTCTCTCGTTAATCCAAAAAAAAAAAAAAAATAGTGAAGAAATTTGATTCTTATAACATTGTCCTACCAATAATACCTTATATAAATATATGATTGTACTTGTACCGATCGATAATGTAAACTTTTTGTAATTTTACATAATTACTATATTAGGACAATAAATTTAAAACGATTTTGGAACTTATTTGATGTATGCCACATTATTGGATAAAAAATTGGTAAATTTGGTCTAAGTTTTATTTTCTTGATATGTTGCAATTTACATTTTAGATATCATTTGTAATAATTTTTATTTCAAATGACATGACCTACTTTGATCGGATGAAATTATGAAAATATATGAAAAATTCTGGCACGTATTACACGTTACTAGTGTAAGCTAGGTGCAATACACAAATATTTGTGTCCGATGCTAAAACAATTATCATATTAATAATATTATTAAAAATTTTGAATTCAAACTATCTTTTGCAATTTATTACAAGAGAAAGTGTTTATATTTTTTTGTATAATGTAAATCATTTTTATAAATTTAATATTTTTTTAAGTTAATAACTAGTTTTTTTTTTTTTTTTTTTTTTTTTTTTTTTTTTGGAAAAATTGGAAGGGGGACACACATGAATTACATATGTGGATAATTAACTTGGTGCCAAACTGGCAACCCAAACCTATCCTCTAAAATTTGTTCGAGATCATCCGGGGCATAATCCAGGATAACTAGTTTTTTTTTTTTTTTGAAAGCTACTGGTTCTATTACATTGTAGTATCTGTTCATATACTTTCTCAACCTACTGAAACACAAAGAACCAATAACGCCTCCACTGAGGCTTGAACTCATAATCTTCCAATTGAAAGTCCAACTCGGATACCATTAGACCACATAGTCCTGGTCAGGATAACTAGTTAATTCTTAGTAATTAACATATAAATTAAATTAAATTTATAATGGTCAATACATATTTATAACATTTAATTTAGGAAAAATTGTAAAAAATGTCTCTATATAATAAGCCAATTATCAATGTCACCCCTAAATTATGAGTGGTGTAAATGTTGCTCCTCAATTATCAAAACGGTGCACATATAGCCCCTCCCGTAACAGACATGTGGTTCCCCATTAGTGTATGACACCGTTAAGTCGGAGTAAATATGTAATTTAATTGTTTTTTTCCTCCTTCGATTTGAAGTACCAGCGATGGACAGCGGTGGGGAACCACAAGTCCGTTACGGGAGGGGCTATATGTGCACCATTTTGATAATTGAGGGGCAACATTTACACCACTCATAATTTAGGGTGACATTGATAATTAGTATATTATAGATGGACATTTTTTACAATTTTTCCTTTAATTTATTTTAATAAAGAATTATTTTCAATTTCAGTCCTATAAATTTTAGGTCATTCTTTATTAAAATCTTTGATTATTAATTTTGTCAACATAAGTGCAAAATTTTTCAATTTTTATCAATTTTGCTCTTTTTAACCAAATTATCGTCCAAATCTCACCAGAAGAGCTCATAGGCATGACACATGTTATATAGTTGGCATGTACAAACATGCATTATTTAGAGGGAGATAGCTAGGTGGGTTGACAAATTTACCCTCACAAGTATAGTATGTGCTACGCATGTGAGCTCTTCCAAAGATATTTGATTAGAAGAACTAAAATTAATAAAAAAAAAATGAAAAATATTGCACTTAAATCAATAAAAGTAAAAATAATTCATTTAATATACATTACCATTAAAGAATAAAAGTAAAAATGTGGTTTACTGAGTGCACATTTTTAAATAGTGGTTGCATTTTCTTATTTAATTTGGAGTAGTTGATCATTATATATATATATATATATATATATATATATATATATAAATTTGGATCAAATAAAAAGAGGCGCCCAAGTAAAAAAGAAAAGGAAAGAGATCTCAACCTTTGATTTGGTCCAGATCAATGCGTGTCCCTGAATGAATGGAATTTTTAAAAAAAAAAAATGCACTGGAACTTTGGTAATTTTTTTTTAAATTTTTAAGTGCCCAAGTTTATATTACAAAGTGCATAAAATTTATACTACAAGTGCATAAGTTTATATTACGAGTGCAAAAACTAATAGTTTTAAATATTTACAAAAATATCATTACATTTTTCCTAAACTAATATTTGAAAGTGCATAAATATATACTATATATCAAATGCATAGATACCAAGGATCTTGTAGTCTAATGGTACTATGTTGCTTTTGTGGGAGGTGATAGGTTCGAGCCTCAATGGATGTTCCAATTGTACATAAATGCACATTGTAAACGCTGGCACCATGTTAAGTACATAACACACGCACATTAAGCACAGAATTCAGGCACCTTTTAAGTTTCAACAACTACTCACGCATTTAAGCACAAAAATCACTCACTTAAGTTTTCAACAACTCACATTAAGTATCACATTAAGTAACAACCATCACGCACATTAAGCACAAGACTCATGCACGTTAAAACTGCACAACTGCACGAGAAACACTTAAATACACCGAAACTTAATTTTATACATATATATATATATATATATATATATATATATATATATATATATATATTATAGAAACTAGAAAGGAAAGGTAAGTGATGATTAGTCATAAAGTAGAAGGAAGAATATATGATAATATGATATGATGGAGGGGACAATGTGAATCTAAGGTTGTGCCATAAATCTTATCAGATCAGATGTGGAAGTTGGGAAGAGAACAACCGACCATCATATCATGCTTTGCTTTTCCTTTCCTTTGCTTAATAATAACATTCAAAGAATGCATTACTACGTACTATTATATATTATTATAACTATAATTGGGTACAAACAACAAACACATGCATACCACACATAACATACTAGTATACTACTATTGCTCATATGTTGTAGGGATGAAAATTATAATCTTACTTGTAATTATTTACTCATATTTGTCTTTACATGAATTCAATTTACTTCTACCGGATAAGTTTGTATATTTTTGGAGTTATGTTGTACCATGTATGTATATATATATATATATATATATATATATATATATATATATATATATATATATATATATATATATATATATATATATATATATATATATATATATATATATATATTTGGATTGAAAATTCATTTTTGAATATTTTGAGTGTTTTTTAAATTCTGTATATGCCGAGGATTTAAGTAAATTTTTTTATTTTTTATTTTAATAATTTGAGTCTTTTGATCGAATAAAATAAAACTTTTAATAATTCTTTTTCAATATATAAGAATATATAAAGTCTACTAAAATTTCATCTAGTTTACGAAATAAAGAGCACTAAATTGCTACATAAAATTATTCGGTATATTTTATTATGGTTCCGCTTTCCTAAAATAGAAATTATTAAATATTTTAACCATTTTAAGTGATTTGAAAAAGAAGAAAAAGATGTAATTTCTTTTAAAATTAAAATTATTATTATTAGGATCCCCACAGAGCAGGAGGATGTAAAACATGAACCATTTTAAGAGGTTGCTCTCACACTGTCGTTGATAAGACTCAATCCTTGATGATTCTTTTCAACTTTCACGTCTATGACCAATTGAGCTGCCCAGTGAATAGAGTTCAGATTCCAATGAATAATTAACAGAGTTAATTCCAACATTGATCCTCCGACTATTGCAATTTTCCAAAATTAGTCCTAGACTTTTAATTTGGACAAAAAAGACATTTGACTTTTAAATTTGTTCCAGCAATGGTCCTTCTGTTAAACATCAGTTAGGATGGCGTTAAGTAGAGGGGTATTGTAGTCATTTCCTTAATTGCTTCTTCTTCCTCTTGCAAATACGTATCTACACTATTACTTCTTCTTCTTTTGGGCTTAGCTTCAAACTGGAATCCAAATCTCCAAAAACACAGACATAGGACTACTCGCCGATCTATGTTTTCCACTCCACCTGTCTAAGAGACAAAGCTTGATTTCTGATAGGCGCAATGGTAGTACACCACACTCCCGCAAATCATCACTATAACCGGCTTCCCTATTCGTCCGACGCCGCTGAAGCATAATCTTACTCTCTTCCTCGCCTCCGCCGTCTCCGCACTGCTATTACTATTACCGTTCCTTCCGTTGTTGTCAGCAGTAACCGCCGTTGCGTCGGTATAATTGCGTCACCGTTGTCTTCCACCGATGCTGGCGTCGTTCGTTAACAAATTAACAATAGCAAGACCAACTCATCATCACTTTATACTTCGCAATCGGTGTGATC